AAGCAAACAAAATGCCTCCAAAAACTCCCAACTCCCCCCACAGCTGATCCATGGGACACTGAAGGGGAAAGAACCAAGAGCCACGCCCCTGAACTCTTTGAAATGACAGAAGATCAATACAGCATTTGGCAAGTTCACAGAAGATGTAAGTAAAAAGGTACAGGGACAAATAAAATGATCAGTGAGTCTGTAGAAGATATTATGTGGTGGATCAGCTAACGGGCAACTTGTAACACCGAGCTGAACTGAGCGTGGTTCCAGGTACAGAAGACCTACTTGAGGATTGCTGCCAAGAGCACAGCTGGAGAACTGGAAGGGAAGATGGTTGCTTTGATTTTCTGGGAGAAGCTTGTCGGGCTGATTTTCCTGATATGAACTCGGCTGTTCTCATTGTCAGAGGAGCTCAGGTCCTCGCTGTCAATGAGGAGGGCTGTGGTTCTCTTCAGGAGAGCTCTTGTCCTTACCTTGAGCATCACTTCCTAACACCAGTGCAGATCCCTCAGCCTGCTGACACAGATCCTTCACCCTGCTGGCACCGACTTTCTAGCTTCCATCACTGACCTTTGGGTCTTCTTAGTGCAGATCCTCGATACAGACTTGCATGAGACATTGTTGTGGGCTCTGGGCCACCAGCTGGACTCATGCAGGACATTGCCATGGGATCCAGGCCCTCAGCTGGACTCTTTAGGTCTCTGGTGCATGGACAGAACTCTTGCACTCTTCTGCATTTGACTTTTTGGATATAAAATAATCCTATAAATTATGTGTCCTGAATTAAATCTATTCCTTTGCAAACCCTGACTACAACCAATAGCCAACCATAATGAAAAGCTAGAAGAGCTAAACAAAATGTGCAAAATTTGAATGACCAGCATAAAAAAGAATTGAGAATTATCCGGCAGTGGTCAGGGACCTGGACTCTGTGGGGGATGCCGAGGACACGTTGGCAGCAGCCAGAGGTTTCAGTCCGTAGTTGGCTAGCTCTAAGGCAGGGGAGCATGGCAGTGGGGCTTGGCAGAGAAGAAACAGCTCATGGCATGGCAACTGGAAGCAGAGAGCAGTCTCTTTCTTGTTGCTGTCTTCACTTTGCCTGGCTCTAACATGTACGTGTAGCCCCGCCTGTGGTGAATAACAGAAATGTAGGAAGTGCCCATCAGAGGTCAGAGGGAGCAGGTCATCGGGGCTTGTGGATTTCATTCCAGAAGGCGGGGTGCAGAGGGGTGCAGAGCCAGGAAAGGTGATCCATCTCTTGGTCCTCAGCTTGGGCAGGGAGAGGATGCTGGAACAAAGCCCCAGTCAACAGGGTCTCCCTCGGCCCCGCCTAAAAGAGAAAGGCAGATAAAAACAGCAGGCAGAAGAGGTAGGGCAGCAAGACAAGGAAGATGGCTGAAGGGTTTGTTCCCCCAAATAAACTCTTTGGATTTTAACCATAAGGATGCACATCCCTGTGTATCCACAGTTCGGGGGTAAAAGGGGTGTGATTCATTTAGATTCCAAGAGAAGGAAGCTTTGGGCCTGGACATGGGACACCCCTCAGCATCAAGATCTCCTTGTGGGACAAATCCAGGCTGGTATGTTGTCATGTGTCAGTTGAGGGGGAGCAGTAAATGGGGATCTAATCTGTTGTGCTGGCAAAATGTTTTTAAATTAAGTCTAGAACATGGAGCTCTAGCAAAGGCAGTTATGCCGCCGCCAGCAGGTGGGAAGCGCATCCCTTTGCTCTGCTGTCATGTTCACTGGCTGTGTTTTGTGGAGGAGACTTGAGAGCACCATCAAGGACCTGACCTCCCACAGCTGAGGCCCAGACACAAACTCAGGCAGGAGCCCCAAGGCCTTCACCCCTTCAGGAGGCTACTGTTGCCTCAAGCACCCCAAGGCATGGCAAAGGGGGTCTCAGCCCTCCTAGCCACAAAGGGAACACTTAGCAGTGCTGCTAAGCCATGTATAGGGACTTCAGGTCACAAAACAACAGGACAAATGCAGATCTATAAATGGAAAGCCTTTACCAATAAGTGATGTAGGAGCCATGATATGCAAATGGAGGTTTTAGATTTAAAAGAAATGTATGCTCTTACTGGTGAGTCCGTATCTTTAGTCACCACTAATCCAAGTGATAAAAATTTTTATCACCTCCAAGTGATAAAAATTTGTTTATTTGAAAGTGAGAATTTAAGCCAGGTGTGGTGGCACATGCCTGTAATCCCAGCATCTGGGAGGCTGAGGCAGGAGGATCATTGAGAGTTCGAGACCAGCCTGGGCTACAAAGTGAGCTCGAGGCCGACCTGAACTTCATAGTGAGACCCTGTCTCAAAAAGACAAAAAAACAACAACAAAAAAAAAGGAGAGAATTTGAGGTAGGGTGAATGAAGATTGCATCATTAGTCAAAAGCTGAATTCTCTTTTTCAATTATTAAATTCTGTATTTATTATAGTTAAAAACAATTTGTGGATTAGATTTTTGTTCTGTCTTCTAGCTTATTTAAGCTTATTGCTGCAATGTAGGTATACACAGTGACCACATTCATTACAGGGGATTTGTATCTGTACATGATAAAGCTTGGTTCCTTTTTTTCCATTCCCCTCCCCTTTCCAAGCCCCCTCCCCTCCCTGTTCACAAAGCTCTGTTTTCATTTTATCCTTCTTTTCTCATTTTTTTCTTTTCCTTCCTTCCTTTCTCTCTGCCCCCTCCCTAGTTCCCTTTTCCTTCTGGACAGTTTCTTCCTATTTCACAATGTCTATTGTACATTTTTGTTCTTATTTACATTTTCAGTTTCTCACACCAGAGAAATAATGTGATATTTACGTGTGTGTCCAGTTTATTTCACTTATAATTATGGGCTCAAAGTCCATCCATTTAGCTATAAATGTCTCAATTTTATCTTTCTTTATGGCTGAGTAACACTCCATTATATATAAAAAAAAATCTTTTTTTATCCATTCATCAGTTGATAGGCATTTGGGTTGCTATTACAAACTGTGCTTCTATAAACATGAGCGCATATATACTGCTGTGGTATGATACTTTGAATTTTTCTGGGAAGATACCCAGAAGGAGAATAGTTGGGTCAAACAGGACTCTGATCCTATTTTTTTTAAGAATCTCTACACTGATTTGCCCAGTAACTGCACCAATCTACACTCCCACCAACAGTGGAGAAGGATTCCTTTCTCCCCACAGCTCCTCCAGCACTTGTTATTGGTTGTTTTCATGATAATAGCCATCCTTTGTGAAGTGAGAAGGAATCTCAGCATTTTTTCAATTTGCATTTCTCAAATGACCAGCAATGTCGAACATTTTTTCATATATTTATTTGCCCCTTTTTGAGAAGTGAATTCATCTCAGATGCCTATTTTTTAATTGCGTCTTTGAATTTGGAAGGTCTGATGTTTTTCAGTTCTTTGTATGTTCTAGATATTAGTTCTTTATCTGAAGAACAGCTGGCATAAATTTTTCCACTCTGTGGGTTGTCTTTTCACTGCATTGATTTTATTTTGGCTCTGTAAAAGCTGTTTAATGAGATCCCAGTTGTTGATTCTTTGTGATAGTTCCTGTGTAATCAGGGTGTTGTTCATAAAGTCTTTGCCTACAGCTATGTCTTCCAGAGTTCTACCTATTCTATCTTCTGGCAGATTTAATGGTTTCTGTTTTAATATTTAGGTCTTTGGTCCATTTTGATTCTAGGTTAGTGCTTCTGGGCAACAAGGGCAAGTTAGGGGGCAACATAATCCCTGATTTGAAATTATACTAGAGAGCTACTGTGATAAAAACAGCATGATACTGGCAAAAAAAACCAGACCTGAGATTAAAAGGTGCAGAAACAACTCCAAACACACTCAACCACCTGATCTTTGACAAAGGCGCCAAACACCGTCACTGGAAGGTTAGCCTCTTTAATAAATGGAGCTGGAAAAACTGGCTTTCTACATGCTGAAGACTAAAACCAGACCCATGTCTATGACAGAAGCTGAAGTCTTGGTAGAAATATGGCAAACTAAATTTACAAACACAGCAAGATTATTTCCTGAATACTGTTGTAAAATGTGCATTTTAACTGAACCCATTTAAGTGGAACAAATCAAAACAGTGCAAGGTGTGCACGTGACATTCTAAGGAGCAGGCTCGTAAATTGTGCCATGCAGGCATCATCACAGGGTTGGAACAGGAACCCAAGGCCCACCTGGAGGTGCTACACCGTTCTGGAGGTTGTCACCAGCCTGTGGGCGCTCCAGCAGGCAGTGGCGACCTGAGGAAGGAGGGTGATGCGTGGGCACCAGGTCGGCCAGTCTGGAAAGCTGTGGATCCCTCTCCTCCCGCCAAGCTGAAGCCCCTGCCTTGCAGCCCAGCTAGGTCCCTCTGGGCATCAGTTCTCGGCATTTCAGCTGCGGGGCCTCTTCCTGAATCTTCAGTGCCTTCTCAGTTCTCAGTCAGGGATGAGTCGCCCCAGGGTCACGCGGGAAGTGGGCTGGTGTCCTGTGCTAGAAAGCATGGCTGTGCGGTTGGCAGAGCACGGCTGAGCCTGACACCCTCTTTCTTTCCTCCCTGATCTCATACTGCACTGTCTGGGAGCAGCTGGACTGGCCCTTTGCTTGAGGGCCCACTGGAATGCAAACCAGGCCATACTGGGCAGAGGGGATGGAGACCCCTGCCAGGGTATGCAGCCAGCCAGAATCCACACGCAATCTCCTCACTGCAGTGCAGGAACCGGACAGGCACCTCAGCGCAGTCTGGGGCTGCCACCCGGTGTCCTCAGGGCCGAGACTTCTTCCAGGCCCTCCCTCTGGAAATGGCGCTGAAGAGGACCCCGTGACATGATCTGACCAGGGCTGCTGACAGCAGACCCGGAAGTAGTGACTCATAGGTGGTCTGAGTGATTCAGCTGGTGGGACATGGACTAGGGACCGAGAGAAGGATTGCTCTGAGCTGGGGTGGCTGTTTCTCCAACACATTGGTTTTTTCCATGTGTATTGTGGCTGAGAAATAAAGCCAGGGGACAAAGGTATGTCACTGATTTTTTTAATGATTTGTGTGCAATGGTTTGACCACAGCTTTAAGAACAAGCAGAAAAACCTAATTTTACAACAAATACCACTTGGTGCAACACCTTTCTGTAAAACACTGCAATACAGACTTGAGGTCAAACCCCCACATCACCGCTGCTGATAGTTGGGAATTATGCTGAAAAGTAAGCACAAATCATTGGGTTTTTTTATAAAGGACTTTCATGACTTTAGCTCACAAAGACTAAAAAGTTTAAGTACAGTCATACTTTCAGTGGACTTTATAATAAAAATTAAATGAACTAAATACTGTAGATAGCACTGTATATATTTTAAAACAGCTTTAAACTATGCAGTTAGAAAGCCATGACTTGAAAGTCATGAAGTGAAGATGAGCGATCTATGGATGGCATGCAGGGGTACCAGCACAGGAGGCTGAGGACACAGCCCACGCCAGCAGCTTCCGAGAGGGTCCCAGGGACCCCACCCTTCTTAGCAGCAGCAGGGGGGAAGCTGGCTCAGGCACTTCCAGGTGAGGACAATCTGTGATAACTTATTTGTGGAGGCTGCTATGATTTTCCAGATCAGAACCTATACAAACCATACAGAAAGCTTAAAATGGGCTTTATTAGAACGTTGTCTGGTGACAGAAGAACCTGGGTATGCGGGGCAGATGGCAAAATCCACAACTTCCTTTGTGGACAGAGCTTGACACCCACACCCAGGACTCAGCAGTGGTTTGGCATGGTGTTGTGGCGCTGTCTTCTGTGGTAAGGGAAGTACTGGAACATCTCAAGAAAAGTGCAGAGGTCCCAAGCAGACACTCAGCTGAGCTGGAAGGGAGGGTCGTTCCATGTGCTCTCTCACCCTTGGCAGCACTGAGCAGGTTTCTGGTCAGAAGGACTGCAGGATGTCCCGAGGGATAATGTACGATCCTGCCCATGCCTGGCCAGTTCCAGCTCCACAGCCCTGGGGGTCACCAAGCTGCAGAGTCCTCTGCTTTGCTGTTTTAACAACACGAACTCAGCCCTCTCACCAGGGCCTTTGTGTGCTACAGCAAAATGAAAACTGGAATCAGTCCTTTCTGCTGACTAAACAGTAACTGTCCAACTGGGTATTTCTAAAATGAGTAAAGAAAGGGCCATTTAATGGCCACTAAAAAGCTGTGAGGTTCTTAAGTTTTTATAGCAAAGAAGCAACTCTCAGTTGCTGACTAGATGCTGGTCATAAATTTGCTTGCTTGTTCAGACTTCTCTTGTGTTACAATATCGATATTTAATAGGAAAATAAACTACATAGACTTTATGTGCATCCATTTGCAAATTTTCTTACAAAAGAGGACAAAGCTGCACATGGGCATTCACAGATTCTATACCGTTTCTGTTAAAATTGGTATCATTATACATTATATTACAGTATCAACAATGCTTTGTTCTACCCATTGGGTAGGATATGTGTATGATATATCCAACATATATACAGCACCTGACAAGCGAGCAGGGACAGACCCTATAGAAGCACCATCCGTGAGGCACACTAGGCTGGCAGGGAGGCATGGCAGGGGAGCTCAGTTCCTGTGGAGCTCAGGGCGGAGGGAGGGGCGCCTGTGAGGTCAGGGCAGTTCTGGCTCTCACTGGTACTGACCTCATCACACAGACCACAGCCCACCCTGGGGGGAGGGCAGGAAGACACAGCCCTGCCGGCCCCAGCCCTGACCCGGAGGCAGAAGCTTTGGGTGTTACGTGCCCATTCTAGCAGAGGTGGCTGTCAGTGGCCAGGCCACATCCCTGGTCTCTGGACAGCTCTGGCATGGGCAGTAGGCCTTCTAGGTCAAGCCAAGGAGGCACCAAGCTGCTGGGAGCCCTCCTGTGCCATGTGGGAGCAGGCCAAAGCTCCTAACCTGTGTCCAGGTAGCACACATCAGACACCAGCCCTCACACTTCGAGGGGATGCTGCTCCCTGGCCAGTGTGTTGCCTGCCGTGGAGTTTTTCCTGGGAAAGGGGAGGACGTGGCCGTCAGGTCAGTGCGGGTTGGCAGGGCGCTGGTGCCCCAGGAAGGCTGTCTCAGCTCCTGTCATAGCTCCAGTCACTTAGAGCAGAACACAGGGAGGTGATGAAAGCAGGCTCACCCCTTCCCATTGTCTTCCCTCACTCTTGGCTGTGCTTTGGAAATTTTATGAAAAAGGAATGGTACAGAAAGAGTCAATTCTGCTGTTCAATGCACCCCAGCACATATCTACACTACATGTAAGCACTTGGCCAGGGACACTTCCCAGAGACTCCCGGCCAGGGTCCCCTGGGTGAGAGCCAATCCTGGGGGCCAAGATGCGATGACTTTTCCTGTCAGAGCATCCCTGGAAATGTTTCCCTTCAAGCACCTCATTCTTAGGGAGGTGAAACTCAGGTGAAGGCTGCTGGGCTCCTCGCCCTACACAGCAAGCCCAACTTCCCTGTTGGCCCCAGCTCTCTCTGCTGCCTGGTGGCTCTTGTGGGCTGGTGTCTGCAGTGTGGAGGGTGAGGTGCACTTTATCTACGTGATAGGACAGAAAACAGATCTACTCTGTAGGTGCACGATCTATCTCACGGTCCGTCACTGAGTCAGCCTCATGCTTGGGAAAACCTTTCCACTGATGGGCTTCCATGTGCCTCTGGGTCACAGCCCTGCACAGCGGGGTCAAATGTGTCAGGGCATCCCTACCGCCATTGTCTCAGTGACGGAGCCCTTCACACACCTGCTCCCTGGAGTAATCTTGACTGGCACCTGTCACGCTGTCCACACCTCTGCTCTAAACCAGCCCTAGGTCAGGACCACAACTCTTACAACACTGGAAGAGAGGGAACCAGCCTGGGCCACACGCAGAAGAGAAGAGGCACCACGGGGAAGGTGACTACTAGTCGAGCTACTGCGCTGCAGAGGCCCAGCCTCAGAGACTTTCCAGGCCACTCTTGCTGTGGGTCTTTAAACAACTAATGACCTAAGAGGCAGTGGGGTAGCTGTACGGGGAAGGACTTCTCAGGGACCATAAAAGTGACCTGAATGGAATGCTTGCTTGCCAATACTCCGGGCACCCACAGAGTGCTGGTGGGCTGCAGGGTCAGAGGGAACTCCGGGTCTCAGCTGTCATTCTCAGCAGGGAGCCTGGTGGGGACACAGGACAGTGAAGGCAGCTCGTCTCCTCCCACACCCGCAGGCAGGACAGGCAGTGAAGACCTCAGCTGTGCGCCAGGGACACTGAGCACCTCCCAGCCACTTCCCCACAGGGGGCCCATGGGAGCCAGTGACCCGCCAGCGTGGGGGAAGGTCCCTTCCGTCCCGACAGTGGGGCTCTCCCAGCAGTAGCAAGCTGAGCCTCAGTTTCCCTCGTGGCCCTCACCTCCGGCCCTGCTAAGCAGAGTCTCAGCCAGACGGAAAATAGCTCCCCTGATCCTCCTAACTCTGGCTGCAGACGCTGCGGCTGTGTGAGGGTGAATCTCACACGATTCCATCCCCATGACGTGCTACCAGAACACACACCAGGAGGAGGGGTGGGGCCGAACAGGACCTAGGCTCCCGCCAGCCCCGGAAGAGTCGCCTCCAGGAACACAGACGGACGGATGGATGGACGGCCACCGCTGCTGACCAGGGGACCCCGCACAGCCTGCGTCGCCAAGTCACCACCCTGGTCCTCCCGTGCCGTGCAGAGGCTGGAGAGGCCCTGCCAGCCCGGTGCAGGCTCTGGCAGACTTGCTGCCCCTCCAAGCAGCGCTCACACTCGCGGAGGCTATTTCCACTGTACTTAACAATGAATGTGTCACACATTGTGAACTTGAAAACAAAGACAACAGCCGGTCGGCTGCACCCGCACTGCCGCTGCCCTCCGTCCGGGGCTGGCCCGGCCGCCCACCCGGCTGCGGCCGGCTCTCTGGCCCCCGCCTCCCCGCACCCGCCGTGGGGCAGGTCCCCCTGGTCAGCCGGGCGCGCTCACCGCGGCCCCGCCAGCGCCCGGACCCCAGGCACAGGCTTCAGCCGGCTCAGCAGAACCCCCTGCGTGTCAACAGCGACGGCCGAGCGATCTCCGCAGAACCCAAGCCCCGGCGGGAGGAGCGGGGCTGGGGAGGCACACGGCCGCACTCCGGGGCGCCCCGTCTGCA